GGTCATGCGACCATCCATTTGCAGCCCTGTTGTAACCCTAACAAACGACTAACTAACGAGTAACTATCCATCAGAGCTAACCGCGCAAGGCACTCATAAATCAAACGTCTTATTTTATATAACCCCCCCCCCCCCCCCCCCCCCAAAAAAAAAAAATCTTTCTTGATCCTCATTTCATAAAACAAGCCTTGTGGGAGAGCGTGTACCTTTCGGAGGAGCAGATGGATCACCCCAGTGTGATGAGATTGTTGCAGGAGGGAGTGACAAGAGGTTCTGGCAGATGCTCGAGGCTCAGAGGAAAGGCAAGAGGGACGTTTAATAAGAATGCTAATAGCACTATTAGTATCGAAACTCTTCGCTCTCTGCAGAAGATTAGGACGGAGTGCTTATGGGAATGCCCCGAGTGCTGTGATGTCGGTTTTTGAACCAAATCAAATCAAATTTCATAAAACGAACCGGAGACGCCAAAGAAACCGCGTCACAAAGTAAATGTAAAATACATAAAAGATCATGAAACAAACTTTCTGCTGCGCAATTCAAGAAAAGAAATATAATAATCTTTAGATATCATGAAATTAAAATTTGTGATTGCTTTTCGCAAGTGACGCAAAGTAAATCCAAAAACGCACGAACTTGCTTGCAATGAAAAGCCTTATTCACCGAAACCAGACAGCTATACTAACAGCACAGATTCTAACGTTTTAGAATAGCGTCAAAAGACGCCTTCCCTTCCCTTCCTCACTACCTCCGAACCACACACATAAACACACACATACACATAAATTAACACTCATTTAAAGCTTCATTTAAAATAGAATATTCAGGTAAACAGCATGGTGTATTTAGTGTAATGGAAGGGAGCCTCACAGCACTGCCATGGGTTTATATCTGCTTTTGTATAAAGCATTGACTTCAAGTTAAGGTGAATCGTTATGCCCAGCAACCGAGTGGCCAAAGGCTGAAGCGCCGACACAAAGAAAATCTCAAGGGTTTAAAAAAAAAGAGGGGGTGGTGTTCAGTCCCTTTATATTTCCGTGGAAAGGGCTGAAGGAGGTTTAGGTTTCGGTACCCTTGGCCAAGGGTCGTTGCTGACTGTATGTACCCTTGGTGAGTGGTCTCGAGGCATGGCGTCCGATTTGAAATTTGGAGGTCCCAGGTTCAGGCTCAGGTGAAGGCTGGGATTTTTTTACGTGGACTTCTAGTAATTTCTTCCGGTCTCTGGGTAGTAAGATCGGACGCCCGTATGTATTGTTGAACACTTAAGAAATCCCTTGGCAATTGGAAATTGAAAAAGAGTGGTCTACCGGCGCTGCCCGGGCAAAATGTAAAGTTAAAAATCTTTTCAAAGTATTTTAGGATCCGCGCCGGTGCAACGGAGTTCGTGCATTGTGCTGAGATTTTTCGGACTCATATTTGAGTTAGAAGTAGAACGGAGCACTTATGGATTACCACCCTTGTGCCATGTTGTTGATCGGTTGTATAAATCAAACCAAACCACAAACCAAACCAAACCAAACCAAACCAAACCAAACCAAACTATGTACCCTTGTTTAATGGCCAATTCAGGACCTTGAGGGGTTTTTGGTTCTACAGCTGGTTACTGGTCGATGACGTCAGGAGTGTAGGGTGGAGCACCACCTTCATATTTCTGTACCTCCCAGGTCATTTCATGTAGATGGCAGGCTCTAATAGAGTAAACGAATATTTTCTTGAATGATTAAAAACTGCCAGTGACCCGGAAGAGCAAACAAGGTCAACAGTTGCCTTGAAGAAGCGGATGTTTCAGCCGAAGAGGTCATCTACTGCAGAACTACTTCAAACAGCAGTGATGAAGTTAATGATGACGATTCAGGTCTTGGTTTTCTGAGCTTGGTCAGATATGACTGAGCTACGGTATAACAGTAACCGGTACTAACTGTGTTCTGTTAACGCCAAATGTTGGGCGGCGTATACCTAACCTGACATCCCATATTGTGCTAACGGCTTCGAGCAGAGGAGCACATGAAGGAGGAGGGGGCGGGGGGGGTACTAGTCTTATCAATGGAAGAGGAAATGCAACCTGAAAACTTTAATACATGGCAGGGCAGACCAGACCCTTCGCCTTGGCTAGCAGCTGGTCTAGAAAGGAAGCTCCGACAGGCGGACAGATAGGGCACGGCTCTTCTGATCCGGCAGCTTCTGCAGCCTGCTTTGTTCAAACGTACTGGTGTTAACTTTCATTTAGAGTAAGCTAGGCAGGTCGAGAGAGCGAGCGAGAGAGAGAGAGAGAGAGAGAGAGAGAGAGAGAGAGAGAGAGAGAGAGAGAGAGAGAGAGAGAGAGAGAGAGAGAGAGAGAGAGAGAGAGAGAGAGATCATGATGCATGAGCAAAATATGGTCCTCTACAATACTGCCCAGGCTTTGTGCTATGGAGAGGAGGAACTTACTTCTCTTAACGCAGGCGGGTCTTGCTAGTCACACTCGCCATCGCCATGGACTTTGAGTGTCATGCCTCCTCATAGCACAATACAACACTGTCGTCTAGAAAAATCGGAAAGGTGCCAATAATCATGATGCAGGGCCGAACTGCATACAATGAGGACATCTTAGTGGATGGTGTGATAGTTCACTGTGAGAAACTAGGTTTGGAATTAGATTGTAAGAAAACAGAAATGACGCTCATCAAAAGGAAATGAATACCAAGGTGTGAATATATATATATGTAAACGACAAACTTCTTAGGCAAGTCACTAGATTACAACTGTCTTGAAACAGTCATACTTTCTGATGCAAGCTGCCTTGTAGAAATTAAAGCAAGTAAAGCCATGACTAAAGTGGTTTTAGTAAGTTTCAAACGATTCTCACTAACAAGAAGACGTCAACTGCATTGAGAAAAAAGTGTTAAAGTGCTATGTAGAGCCTTGGTTGTTTTATGCATTGGAAACATAAACAATAGGCAGTCAAGCAGCTGACAAACATTTACTCGCCCAGAGATGTGGTTTCTGAGAACAATGGAAAGAACACAATGGAAGGATTGAAAAACAAACGAAGCAGTTCTCATCGAGACAAATGAAAGTCGTAAACTTACTCTAACAGTTAGACGTAGACCAAACAACGGAGTCTATTCCTTGTTATTACCATAACAAAATAACATTATTAGGTTGAAGTGTTATGAAAAAGAATCGACTCGAGCGCTTGGTAAATACTGGAAAGATCTATGGAAAGAGAGCTAGAGGTAGCCAAAGACATAAATGCCTGAATAGCCTGATAGATGGATGGGGTGGGAGAAAAACAATGAACCGATCCGTGATTCTTGTAATCGTGTGAGATGCCAAAACAAATGAAAACCTTACGAGCACTTCACACGATGATGATGATGAGGTAGGAATTAAATTAATAATAATAATAATAATAATGAGAAGAAGGAGAAGAACTAACATTTGAACGCATTATAAGTTGTTTTCGGTACAGAAAGAATCAAAGAACTACATACAGCAGAACTTCAATTAATGGTCACTGTCCGGACCAGGGCTACGGCGGATAACCGAATAGACAGATAATTACATAAATATCTAAATACATATGTACAGTAACGTGATTTCACTGCCGGCAAGGGACGAAAATGAAAAGTAAAACCCTTTAAAAGGAAATAATACAAACACAATGTATTTTATTTTACAAAAACGATCAATACAAACTTCATTACAAGAGTAGTAATGCACATAAATGTATTGTAATACTGTAAACCTGTGTTACTTTGAAACAACCCGTCATCTCCTTCTGTGTCTTTAAGGTTTGAGCTTTCTACGCGGCAATGTTCCGTATCTTAAGCAGAAGTAGGACCCGTGTTGCAGATGCCTCCTCTTGCATTTCAAATCAGTCCATGCACTTTGATAACTGTTTCTGCTGAGGAGTGGCAAGCTGGAGGTTTCTGTTTAAGAACTGATCCTTCGTCTTTGTCAATGGCAGTCACACTAGAAACGATTTCCGGTACTACTCACTAACTCGGGCCCATCTAAGCCCATCTACACACTTATGATTGACGGAGTCCGGCCAGGACAATATGACTAAACGTTCAGTCTCTGCTTTCACCCTTGAGACGCTCAAGTGAAAGTTACAGGGTGTCAGCTCAGTCAAGGCTTCTACTCGCGACCCCGCGTGCTATATATTAGAGGATGTGAGCGCCTTAGTGACCTCATAACATGTACAACCGTCTCTAACCCCAAACCTCCCTTACCAAAACTGAACCTAGGTCCTAAGAGACAGTGCATTCTATGTGGCGTGGTTTCAGACTTCTTAACATTTTGTGATGGCCTGCACAACGCTGTGTTGCTGCAAACACGCAACCCTATCCTCTGCAATACACTCATTTCTTAACGCAAAATCCTGGACGGCTGTCATATACCCACCAACACACACTAATACGGGTTACGAGTCAGTACGTAATTCCGACGGCCGCTACTTCCAGAATAAGGATTAACACGTAACGCAGAAAGCTTTGAGAATACAGAAGTACGCCACACCCCTCTAACCTTGACAAAAGTTGACTAAGCTGACCAAGTATAAAGGAAAAGTTACGTAGTGTGTAACTTGACAGAGCCAACTATGATGGGCCTGAGTTAGTGAGTTGTTCCCAATTTTCTTTTTGGACGATAAAGGATAATAGAAACGAATGACGGTAATCGACGTTTTTCTGTAACTTGATAGCCTAGAATTCAAATAATGACCTTTTCTCCGAGGTCGACTTGAGTGGGTACAAGGTGCACTCATGTGAAGTAAAGGCGGCCAGCGTAATGCTAACCACATCACCCACCATGTGTCAATTGGACTATAAAAAATATAGGTCTAGCCCTATATGCCCATTACGCCTAAAGGCGTCACAAAGGTCCCTTTACTTTGCTGACTAGAATTTCAAATACAATTAAAACTTCGCCTAATATTCTATGTGTGCTGTTGAACTTCCAGACACGTTGCTCTCTGTCAAGAGTCAGGTGACACCAAATCGCAGACAACGCCAGCGAAGAACGCCACCTACTGGGTCAGTACCAGCAACAAGTTCTGGCCCGGACGTGCTGTCCAGTTGATTGCCCAGATCCTGACCGGCACTGACCCAGTCGCGGTCACTGTGTCCATCACGGAGCAGAGCTATGAGGTCAACTCAACCGTGAATACCTTATTCACGTCTGCTGCCACTGATGTCTATCCAGGAGGTAGTCATTGTTTATTTCTAAACCTTTGATTTTATTGTTGTTATATATAACCCTGTTCAACCCATCGATTGGGTTATATCAGAGCCCCGGCAACAGCCCGGGTAGGGCTTAAAATAATGGGACGAAAGTTGATATTAATGCAGGATAAGCTAAATGTTGTAAAGGCTCTTTTGGAGTGATTCATCATTGTGGAGGTACAAAAAGGTCACAATAGTCAGAAGTGAATAACGCAGCGAGTAGTGACCAGGCGATCTGGCCAACATTCAGGGGAGAGGCAGCACGGACATACAATCAGACTGTTACTGGTACCATCGGAATTGGAACTGTGCACTTGCTGCTGAATATAGGGACGGAGCGGTTATAAGAATATCCCGAGTGCTGTGATGGCGGTTCTTAACTAATGACTCATTGCCAGCTGACAGCTCATTATCATTGCACGTCGTACCATTTAATCCTTAAGTGCTCGAAACCACGTCTCGGTGAATTCCCCCAGGGTTATATACAGGAGTAGTCGCCGCGGCGCAGCGGCTTTACGCTCGCTAGCAGACCTGAGGATCGTAGGTTTAAATCCACATCCAGTCGGATTTTGTTCAAAAATGACCTTGGCCCCAATCAACCCAGCCGTAAATGGGTACCAGGTAAATTCTTGGAAAGCAAAGGCGGTCGGCGTGATGCTGGCAACATCATAAACCGAGTACCATACTAAATACGCATAAGGCGGGGAAAAGGAGTCGTTTCTTAAACTAAAACGGGCATCATAAAGTCATGGCTGCTAGGATGACGAGGATGATAATGGTGATGATTATGATGGTGGTGATGATGATGGTGGTAATGACTGGGATGATGTTGTTGTTGATGACGATGAAGATGGTAGTAATGATGATGGTAGTAATGATGATGGTGGTGATAATTATGATGGTGGTGGTAATGATGATGGCGGTAACGATGATGGTGGTGATGAACATGGTGATGATGTTGTTGTTGATAATGATGGTGGTGGTGGTAATGATGAGGGTGGTGATGGTGATGGTGATAATGATGATAGTGGTGATGATGATGATCATAATGATGATGATTATGGTGATGATATTGATGATGATGATGATGATGATGTTGTTGATTGTCATGATGATTATGATGATGTCAATGATGACTATAATGACTATGATGATGACGATGTTGATGATGATGATGATGATGTTGATGATGATGTCGATGATGATGATGATGATGATGATGATGATGATGACGACGACGACGATGTTGATGATGATGACGATGATGATGATGACGATGATGATGATGATGATTATGATTAAGATGACGCCGAAGGCCGAAGGCCGAAGATGATGATTATGATGATAATTATAATGAAGATTATGATGATTTTTTCCATCATCATCATTGTCTTCATACTCAAATATTTAAATATCGTCACTGTTACATATGCCTGTCAATAATGGATTTTTTTTTTTTTTTATTTTAGCGCCGCAAACAGTGCTCATTGACGTAAGTCTGCTTATTTAGTTCATTTCAGTTCAGACCTGATTATATTTAGTCACGATATTTGGTCAGATATTTAGTCAAATATTTAGTCACGATATTTGGCAAGGTATTTAGTCTCAATATTTGGTAAGGTATTAGGTCACTATATTTAGTCAGATATTTCGTCACGATATTTGCTCAGATTTTTAGTCACAATTTTTGGTCAGATATTTAGTTATGATATTTGGTCATATATTTAGTCACAATTTTTGGTCAGATATTCAGTTATGATATTTGGTCAGATATTTAGTCATGATTTTTGGTCAGATATTTAGTTATGATATTTGGTCAGATATTTAGTCACGATATTTGGTCAGATATTTACCAATGATATTTGGTGAGATATTTAGTCACAATATTTGGTCAGATATTTAGTCACACTATTTGGTAAAATAATTAGTCATAATTTTTTAATAGATATTTAGTCATGATATTTGGTCAGATATTTAGTCACAACATTTGGTAAAAGAAGAAGAAGAAGAAGAAGGAGGAGGAGGAGGAGAAGAAGAAGAAGAAGAAGAAGAAGAAGCAGAAGAAGAAGAAGAAGAAGAAGAAGAAGAAGAAGAAGAAGAAGAAGAAGAAGAAGAAGAAGAAGAAGAAGAAGAAGAAGAAGAAGAAGCAGAAGAAAAAGAAAAAGAAGAAGAAGAAGAAGAAGAAGAAGAAGAAAAAGAAACATGTTGGCCAAACCTTCAGATAGCAGCCACAAAGTGAGAAAAGGTAATGGAACTAAACTTGTATCATTCACATTTCTGATAATGTTTTCTTTCTGGCCTATCTATACCAACCTTGTAATGACTACACAGGTCCCATCAACCTTGAAAGTGCCTGAAAACAGCTGGTCTTTCATGTACAAAATTGTTGTCGTCGGCAAAGGTAACACGGTCAACTTCAAGCACGAGGACTACATTAACCTGCAGACCAAGGCATTCTCCATCTTCGTGGTGACGAACAAGGGCATTTACAAGCCGGGTCAAATAGGTGAGTGTATTTTTAAAAAAAAAAAAGTTAATTATAAATTTTTACACGACGTTCAAGAGGAATAAGGAAATAAGACCACATGGCAACCACTAGTATCAAAAGTTATAAGAAATAGAAGATGGCGCTACATTGGACACTTTCGGAGAAGAAACCAGCAAAGAGTCACCAAACAGACATTACAATGGGAAAAAGAGGGGTTAAGGAGACGAGGACGTGCAAATGAAACCTTAAAACGAACGTTGATGGGAGTGGCCAAAGCTGATAGACTGGATTCCATCCATGATATTGAACTGATTATACAGGATACAGTAACAGTAGAGGCAGAACCTGAACCTTCATTAGATGAAATTTCATGGGCAATAAGGAGCCTGAAAAATGGTAAATCACCTGGATGTGATGAGATACCAGCTGAATTGGTTAAAGCGGGAGGAGAAGAAAGCATAAAAATCTATCATGCATTATGTGAAAAGATATGGAAATATGGTATTTGGCCAAAAGACTGGAAGAGAACTATCTTCATTCCAATACCAAAAAAGGGTGACCTGAAATTATGTACAAACTATCGAACTATTGCCCTGAACTGTCATGCAAGTAAAATTCTACTAAAAATTATAATGAGAAGACTGCATAAGAAAATGGAAGAAGAGATTAATGTAGCTCAGGCTGGATTTAGACAGGGAAGAGGAACAAGAGATCATATATTCAACATGCGTTTAATAATAGAGAAGTGTAGAGAATTTAATGTAAATCTGTTCTTATGTTTTGTGGATTATTCAAAAGCATTTGACTGTGTACAACATCAGAAGCTTTGGGAAATCATGAGGAATATAGGCTTTCCATCACATATAGTGCAGCTCATTAAAATGCTCTATCAAGACCAACAAGCAGCAGTCAGAATAGATGGAGAGACATCAGACTGGTTTGGCATCAAGCAAGGAGTCCGTCAGGGATGTGTGCTGTCACCGTATTTGTTCAACCTGTACGCCGAAAATATAATGAGAAATGTAAGAGATGATATAAACAAGGAACAATATGATGCCTTAAACATCGGTGGTCATGAAATACCAGAAATTCGTTATGCTAATGATACAGTATTACTATCAACATCACAAAATGGTTTAGAAAACTTATTAACCTCACTCCAAAGAAATAGTGAAAATCATAACTTATTTCTTAACATAGCAAAAACAAAGATAATGCATACAAACAAAACTGCCATGGAGAAGGAAATATATGTTAATGAGGAAAGATTGGAAGTGGTGGAAAATTTCGAATATCTTGGGTCACTGGTTACCAACAATGGTGACACAATGAAAGAAATTAAACGGCGACTATCAATTGCTCTTCAAAGACTAAAACAACTGAATAAATTATGGAATTGTACAGATAGAATTACAAAGGTCAGATTTTTAAGAGCATGCATCTTTCCCATTGCAACATACGCCTGTGAGACCTGGACACTTACTAAACAAGCGGAACAGCGCATAAATGCATTTGAATACAAATGTTACAGACAGGTTCTAAGAATATCTTGGGTAAAGAAAAGAACAAATGCATCCATACTTCAAGAGCTGAATATTGAAGAGGGTTGGCTAGTAAAGACAATAAAACAAAGAAAATTGAAATATTTTGGTCACTTGAAACGTCATGGAAGTCTAGAGAGAACAATAATGGAGGGGTATATGCCTGGGAAGAGAGGAAGAGGAAGGCCAAGGAGAAGATGGGTGCAGGATGTGGCAGATGATCTCCAGATGGGTGTATCAGACGCAGGACATCTTGCTCAGGATAGGAAGGGTTGTTATGGCAGCGAGGTTTCTCGAGGGACATGCTACTGAATGAATACAGGATATAATGGAATGGGGGAATAGACCACGAGACCTTTGTGTCATGTCACTGCAGAACACGATAATGAATGAATGAATGTACACGACGTTCTAGAATCAGCCCCGGCATAGTTTGACTATTTGTGTTATGTTATCACAATCAACGTTACTGCACGTTCAGCACTCCCATTCATGCTCAATCCTCCAATGCAGCAGCCTCTCCCAGGTACCTCAAATAATGTTCCCATAAAAAGTTTGTTATTCGGTACTATGATATAGCGACTCTTCGGCCTTGATTCCATGATAGATACCGTAAATCTAGGAGAAATTTGGCTTTTCTGCCAACCCCCGGGCGTGAACTCGGACCACAAAGAGTTCGTCACCCGGTCGCCGCAAAGTCAGTTTTAACCAACTACGCTAGCGAGCCGGACAGAATGGTCTCCTGTCTTGACCTCGAAAAAGACAAGACGTGCTTCCTTGAGGTTCACTTCCACGTCACGCAATCGTATAAGCGTCAGAAAATAATCATTAACCCCCAACCTAGTCTGCACACCATTAATAATCTTAGCTCTGCCCGTGCTTCTTCCTGTCTGCATTGGCGGAGTAATTGCCAGCTGGTCAGCTCTTTCATTTCCATGTACTCCTACATATCCACGTGTGTAGATCCCTTTGATGGAGTTCATCTATGACTTCCGAATGTTTTCTACCAATTTAGAGCGTTAACTACCTGCTGCGACTTTCTGTTTGGTTTGACTAGGACATTTTACGCTCAGTGGGTTGCCGGTCAGAGTATTTTGTTCGAACCCAGCTGCGTGCACAGTGGCAGAAGACCGTTTTGTGTTGATATCGACTGTGCTATTGAGAGCCAATTGTTTAGTGGGCAGTGACAAACTACTGAACGTAAATTACCTCGTGAAATGACATACATCCGACAGGTGTTACGCTTGGATCACAACGTTCTCTAAAGCAGCGTTTCTGAAGAACAAAAACCTACCTACTCAGAGCTTGAACAGCTGTTCAAGGCAACCAGGGATTGTGATCTAAGAAGATGCATGAGCACCTACGCTTGTTAACAAGGCACGTGATAATAACGACTCAGAGCTTTGCTTTAAATATGATATTCAGTTGATATTCGAGTCTTTGTATTTGTAAAGGCCATGTTTTGCATCTATTTACAGTAAAGCTTCGTGCGCTTGCCATGGCACCGGAAAATCTGAAAATTCTGCAGGGTCCAATGGACATAACTATTACGGTAAAATTTGTTCTTCTTCAGTTTACCTTGTTAGGCATGTATGAAAACACTGATGACTGTTAGTGTTTATGACTCAAACATTCGCTAAACACAGTATCAGAGTTGGTAGTATATTTTGTGTTTTTAAGGAAACATAAATCAGCAATGGCTGCCAGGTCGACCCAGCCTTGAGTGGGTACCGGGTGCAGTCCCGGGAAAGTGAAGGCGGCCGGTGTGATACTGACCACATCACCCATCTTGTGCCGATAGGTCTATAAAAATATAGGTCTAGCCCAATATGCCCTATACGCCTTAAGGCGTGGAAAAGGGTCCTTTACTTACTTTACTTACTTTACTTACTTTACTTACTTTACTTACTTTACTTACTTTACTTACTTTACTTACTTTACTAAATCAGCAATAAATATTAGCGTGGACAGACAGACAGACAGGCAGACAGACAGACAGACGAATGGATAAAAGGATAAGTGTATAAGAGGCATACCCACGGACGGATGTTAGATTCTGGTTTTTTTTTTAAAGTCCTATCCTTGCGTTAGAATAAATAAACGCATCCCAGCGTTGCATTGTGGGTGAGTTCAAACCCATTGGTCAAGGACACTATTCCACTCCTTCAGCCGTACTGGACATTTAGGACTAGACCTATATTTTCTAGACCAATCGGCACTTGGTCAGTGATGTGGTCAGCATCACACCGGTCGCCTTTACTTCCCAGGACTTTACTTAGTACCCACTCAAGACTGGGTCGACCTAGAAGCCACTGTTATTACTTAAAAATGTCTGGCCCCTTTAGAGTTTTATTCAGGATGGGGGGGGGGGGGGGCAGAAAATTGTCCGCACCTAACTTGACAATGCCACTAGATCGTCGTCAGAGCTACGGAGTTTATGCTTTGTGTGACGCTGTTGACAGGCTGGTTACCGTTCTGCAGAGATACATAGAGCCATATAGGATATAAACCGGGTGCAAGTCAGTCAATCCTCTGAACTTTAATTTTAATATAATGTTTTTTTTTTCGATTGAGTGGGATTTCTGGGATTTTGCTTCAGTTTGATTCTCATCATTGAGATGTTAATCCTGCGGACGGCAATTCTCAAGGGGAAAGGTTACCTGCCTACCAATAGACAAAGAGATGAAAGAAGAAACACACTCACAAACACACATTCATACACACACAGATACGCATCAATAGAAGGAGAAATGACGAACAGAGATATAAAAAAATTTGTACAAGTTGAACTGGTGCAAGGCAGGTGTAAAGATTGACACGCAACAATGAAAATGTGTACATATGTGAACTAGAGAGAGAGAGAGAGAGAGAGAGAGAGAGAGAGAGAGAGAGAGAGAGAGAGAGAGAGAGAGACAGAGAGAGAGAGAGAGAGAGAGAGGGGGATAATGGGAAAGAGAGAGAGAGAGAAAGAGAGAGAGAGAGAGAGAGAGAGAGAGAGAACGAACGAACGAACGAACGAACCAACGAACTTTTTTTTCAAAGGGTCACAAATTAGGCACGCAGGCCCGTCTTACTTTCGGCCCTTCCAAGCACACGTCTTTCACACTGCAGCTGTATTTTATCAATAAGCATGTTATATTGGTATGCATATTATGAATATTAAAAAGGAGAAAAAAAAAAAGCACACAAGCATGGGTGGTAAAATGCGTGCACACACACACACACACACACACACACACACACCCACCACTCACTTAAACACACTCACATACCTTCACACACACATAACACACCCAATTCATCCACATACATACCTACATACCCACACAGACACGCACATTTCCACACACATACAAACATACAGATATACACACACAGACACGCCCATAGAAACAAATGCAGACACACACACACACAGAGACATACGCGCACATACCCAATCACACACGCAGATACACACACACACAGACACACACATGCGACACACAAACCGGCATACACACACACACAGGCAGACACACACAGACACATATGCACAAACACAAGCAGACACAAACACACACAGATAGAGAGAGTGAGAAAGAGAGAGGGGAGAAATCGAATCATGTGAGGTATAACTGAATGCAATAAAGCCCATTCTTTTTCTAAAACGCCTTTTTACGTCAAAACTGTTTCCACCCATCCATTCTGAACGCTGCTCTTTGAATCTTTGAATCTCTCCCAGGATGCCAAAGGAAACAGAATCAAACAGTACAAGGGAGTGACAGGAATATCCGGTGTTGTGGATCTCAACTTCACCTTGGCACCTAGCACCCCTATTGGTGACTGGAAGATTTCTGTGACCTTTCGGGTAACAGTTCTGTCTTTCTTGACTTGTTTTGTTCCATGCACAGGGTGTTTCATAAATTTCCTTCCCCTTGTGGGTTCCGGGGACCCAATTCAGGGAAAACAAGAATAGACCCACTGCCTACCTAAAATCGTGTCGTACGAGTCGACTAATTGGAAGCTTCATTTGAAGCCGGAGTGCATCTGCCTGAGAAGCAAGGAACTAACAGTCTGCGTACATATGAGTCAGATCTGTAAAACGAATGCACACGCAACGCTTAGGTTCTGGAACGGGACTAGAGTCCAGAAGTGGACGAACAAACAGAACTTTCCGCCAGAGTTTATAACTGGTAACGCGAAGAAGAAGAAGGAGAAGAAGAAGAAGCAGAAGAAGAAGAAGAAGATAAATTGCCATAAACAGAAACAATAAATAATATAACCAATGCCATTACAAGCATGTCTACAGCTGTACTTATACACGGGCTTCATCGGCCGTGGACTCGCAGGGAAATGTTTTCAAAACAATGCTAGTCATGGAGCCCATTTGAGAAGCTGCTGGCCAAACGGTTAGAACACTGGGCTCTCACTCGGTAGACCCAGGTTCGAATCATCGAAGAGGCTGGGATTTTTTTTTTAAATGTCGGTGACAAAATAAAACACTCACCCGCACAGTCGTGGCGACAGCACTGGCCATGCGGCCGTAAATCCTCTAACTCATAGATCCACCTGCCTACATCGCAAAAGTGGTATAATAAAGACAGTAACTTGCAGTTTTTGGCAGTAGGCCATTTTGTACAAATACAATTAGTTTTCACCTCCAAAAAAACGTAATACGAAAGAATGGATTTGATTTGCAAAAGAGTGAGAGGAGGGCGCAGTGTGTGTGTGTGTGTGGGGGGGGGGGGGGTCAATTTGGCTTGTCGTTCCTGTATTATACAATGAAAACAAGTTACAATGCATTTAACTAATTTATTTTTAGCCAAAAGTTAGTTCAAAGGGAGAGCTTTGTGGTCGATTTGAGTTCTAAAAATAACGATAATAAAAGCTTAAAGCGCTTTAAACGACATTGATGTTTATATCTAAATTCTGAAGTCCGAGAAAAGATGTAAGACATGCAAATAAGACAATAATTAGAAGACATTTGTTAACGCTTTACCACTATTTCTCTGACTGAACAGGGTCAGACGGAGGAAAAAACAATTACAGTGGATGACTACGGTAAGGAAAAATTCCCGGTGTTGTACCACTGTATCCTTCTTTCACTTTTCATCTTCGTGCTTTCCATGATATGCACTTGCAGTGTAGGGTTTCAGGGAACTCATCTTTGGGAGGGAAAGAATAAACCCCCAGCTCTTTACCAAGCATGTCGTAAAGTTAATAAATAAAGAGCCCTTTTTAACATCAAGAATATGATTGGGCATATGATGGTAAACTCGTTGTTTTATTGACGAATCGGCACTCGGGGAATGATTTAGTCAACATCTCTCTGACCGCCTTTACTACCTTCTATGACCTGGTACTCATTTTGGGCTGGGTCGATGTGGGAATCAAGGACCATTTTAAAAAAATCAGAACTGATGCTTTGAATCTGGAGACGAAGAAGAAGAAGAAGTTGTGATGATGATTCGTGTCATTAAAGGCGACCTATTAGGGATTTGCTGAAATCGGAAGTGTTTCGGCTGAAAGATGCAGATTTCACAGCCTAGCTTTAAACCGCATCAGTGTGCCAACCAGCCTTTAAAGAATGAAGGCAGAAGAAGAAACGTTTCTGGTGTCGGGACAGAATTGTTGTTCCGAAGGGTTGTTTACAGCAGTGGCATACAACGAGGTTTCCTTCTTCTTCTTCTTATTTTTCTCTGGTCCCTGTTCTATCTTTTGTCGTCGGGTTTTTCAGAGGCATCGATTGGAAGCCTTGGCATGTGCTAAGTAACTGCTGGTATTTACGGCCTCAGATATTCCATCTATCCATCTCTTGCGTGTTCGCCCTCTGGTTGATTCTGTTACGTCTGACGGGACTGGCTTCCCAGTTGGGATAATATCCATCTGAGTCAAGACTTCCTTAACTTGCGACAGACCCAGCAAGCCGGCAGTTGATACAATCTCGCTCGACGAAATGATGAAGAGAAATCGATAGAGGTTTCCACCTTATATTCAACAGAGCGTCAGCAAGAAACTCAAAGTTAAAATTTTGAGAGCACGAATCTTCCCTGTCGAAACACACGGATGTGAGTCGTGGAATTTCTCCAAATCCTTAGGAAAAAAGATAGGGGCTTTTGAGCTAAAACGCGATAGAAAAGTTCTCAGAATATCACGGACAAAAAAGAGAACAAATACTGACATTTTAAAAGATCTGAACATTAAGGAAGTTTGGCTAATAAACAGCATCTTGTCTCGGAAGCTGACATATTTGGGCCATATCAAGCCCCATTGCGGATTGGAAAAATGATAATAGCAGAAGGCACTGTACCAGAAAGGAGGGGCAGGGGCCGACCAACACAAAGATGTGCACAGGGTATAAGTGACGCCTTGAATATAAAAGTACATGAGGGGGAAGAGCTGGCGAGACACCGAGTTTCTTTCAGGCAGACTGTGATGAGAGCGACGTTCAGCAAAGAACCTGCTAAATGATGATAATTCCACAGAGTTCCGTAGTGTCGCAGTGGCATGACCCTCGTCTTTAGGCCCAAAGGTCGTCAGCTTCAGGTTACCACCTTAAACCCCCGTGTCGGTTCAGGGCCCCATTTCAGCGGGAAAGAGAAATGACTCATTGCCTCACAACAAACGGCTAATTAAGGGATTTTCTTTTTAAGTAGCGCATCTGCCTGAAAAGCGAAGTACCAACAGCCGGCACGCCGATAAGCCAGATCTGTGAAGCGGATGTGTACGCAAAACTCAAGTTCTTGATCCAGACGAAAGTTCAGAATTGGACGAACATTCAGAACTTTCTTCCGGAGTTTACAGCCGGTGAACGGTAAGACCGTGTCTGATTAATATCGGCAGAAAAAGAATGAAATAGTTTGGCCACCTAGTGTGTATGCAGCCAGACCAAACTGCAAATGAGAGTTTTTACATCAGAGCATCTGCAATAAAGGTGAACTGAAGACCAAAAAAGAGATGGATAAATGATCAAGCGAAAACCTGCCAAAATATGAACAAATCCATCAGCTTAGCCACCCTAAGCACAAGAGAAATACAGAAATCCACGACACTGGACTACAGCCTGATGTCAGCGAAGAGATACAAGAATGAGAACGTCAGAAAGTAGAGCTAGCCGAAGTTTCGATCACTCCTGAGATTTCACATCTTATCCTGTGTGGCAGACAAATATGGAAAAACTAAGGTACCCCTTTCAACCCTCACGGAAATTATAATTAGAGCACTTGCAACGGTTACGCCAGCCTGGTGTTAGTTAAAGTCAACCCAGTCTTAAATGAGTACTAGGAGTTGTCATGGGAAGTCAATGCGTCCGCGGGTATGTTGATTACGTCAACCATCTAGTATCTATTTGCCTATGTTAAAACTAAAGGACCCATTTCCACGGCTTCAAGTGTAGAGGACATATAGGGCAAGACCTATATTTTATAAACCAATCAGCACTCAGTGGTCCAGCCTGCCCTAACTTCACAGTACTTTACCCTGCCCATTTAAGGCTGGGTCGCTCTGGATTCACAAACAATAGCAAACTATGGTTAGTTGCGTATCCTTTACAGGACGTTGCAGAACTAAACCCAACAGCCCCTGGCTGCTGTGTGGATTTTCTATGCAAATTTACGTCCAGTAGTTTGGCATCTCTTTCTAATAGCAAATTACTGAACGTAAAAATTGCTTTAGAAAAACCACAACAACCGAAAAAAGCAAGGCTTTGTTCTGCAACGCCCTGTAAAGGATACGTAACTAACCAACTATACGCTAGATACACCAATGTAAAATTGGTTTTTTGTTGCTGTTGTTTGTTTTGTTTACTTTACTTAGCTTTCGGCAAAGAATCTTATGATGAGTGTGACTTTGCTTTCTGATCTGAACGGAACAGTGTCTAAATGGAAAAGTATCTAAATGTAAACGTGTCTTAATGGAAACATATCTAAATGTAAAATGTTCTGTATGGAAACTGTTTCTTTAACTTTACATTTTCACTGCGTTTTCTCAGTGCTGCCCAAGTACGAGGTGAAGGTCACGCCACCGGCGATTCCCCTTTCAAGTGATACAACATTCCCTATCACTGTCAAAGCCACGTAAGAGCACTAGTTTATTCAGTTTGTATAATCTTCTTTTTCTTTTTCTTTTTCTTCTTCTTCTTCTTCTTCTTCTTCTTCTTCTTCTTCTTCTTCTTCTTCTTCTTCTTCTTCTTCTTCTTCTTCTTCTTCTTCTTCTTCTTCTTCTTCTTCTTCTTCTTCTTGTTCTTCTTCTTCTTCTTCTTCTTCTTCTTCTTCTTCTTCTTCCTCTTCCTCATATTTTCATTATGATTATGAGTATTATTATTATTATTGTTGTTGTTATTATTTTTATTATTTTTATTTTTTCTTCTGTTTCTTCTCCTGCTCCTTCTCCTTCTACTTCGTCTGTTTCCTACTCCTTCTTCTTATTTCTCTCCTCTCCTCTTCATCCTTTTCCTCCTCCTCCTTTTTCTTTTCTTCCTCCTCTTCCTCTTCTAGAAAAGAATAAAAAAAGGCAGTTAAACCCCTCTAGACGATATTGATTAAGACGTGTAAACCCCTCTAGACTATATTGATTAAGACGTGTAAACCCCTTTAGAACATATTGATTAAGACGTGTAAACTCATCTAGACCATATTGATTAAGACGTGTAAACTCCTCTAGACCATATTGATTAAGACGTGTAAACTTCTCTAGACCATATTGATTAAGACGTGTAAACTCATCTAGACCATATTGATTAAGACGTGTAAACTCCTCTAGACTATATTGATTAAGACGTGTAAACTCATCTAGACCATATTGATTAAGACGTGTAAACTCATCTAGACCATATTGATTAAGACGTGTAAACTCATCTAGACCATATTGATTAAGACGTGTAAACCCCTCTAGACTATATTGATTAAGACGTGTAAACCCCTCTAGACCATATTGATTAAGACGTGTAAACCCCTCTAGACCATATTGATTAAGACGTGTAAACCCCTTTAGACCATATTGATTAAGACGTGTAAACTTCTCTAGACCATATTGATTAAGACGTGTAAACTTCTCTAGACCATATTGATTAAGACGTGTAAACTCCTCTAGACCATATTGATTAAGACGTGTAAACTCATCTAGACCATATTGATTAAGACGTGTAAACCCCTTTAGACCATATTGATTAAGACGTGTAAACTCCTCTAGACCATATTGATTAAGACGTGTAAACCCCTCTAGACCATATTGATTAAGACGTGTAAACTCCTCTAGACCATATTGATTAAGACGTGTAAACTCATCTAGACCATATTGATTAAGACGTGTAAACTCATCTAGACCATATTGATTAAGACGTGTAAACCCCTCTAGACTATATTGATTAAGACGTGTAAACCCCTCTAGACCATATTGATTAAGACGTGTAAACCCCTTTAGACCATATTGATTAAGACGTGTAAACTTCTCTAGACCATATTGATTAAGACGTGTAAACTTCTCTAGACCATATTGATTAAGACGTGTAAACTCCTCTAGACCATATTGATTAAGACGTGTAAACTCATCTAGACCATATTGATTAAGACGTGTAAACCCCTTTAGACCATATTGATTAAGACGTGTAAACTCCTCTAGACCACACTGATTAAGACGTGTAAACCCGTCTAGACAATATTGATTAGGACGTGTTAACCCCTCTAGACCATATTGATTAAGACGTGTAAACTGCTCTAGACCATATTGATTATAACGTGTAAACCCCTCTAGACCATATTGATTAGGACGTGTTAACCCCTCTAGACCATATTGATTAAGACGGGTAAACCCCTCTAGACCATATTGATTAAGACGTGTAAACCCCTCTAGACCATATTTGATTAAGACGGGTAAACCCCTCTAGAACAGACAGAACAAGACAGTAATGTCCTCTTGAATATAATGAAGATTGATAAACTCCCCTTGAATAGATGGATTGGACGGTTAAAACCCTCAAGAATAGACTGACTAAGACGGTCTCACCCCACTGGAACTGACTGAAGAAGATAGTTAAACCCTCCACAGACACTGAATACAAGCTGTTGTTAGTTTTCTATGATATCCGTTGTTTTCCCAACTAGGTACACATTCGGGCAACCGGTGACCAATGGTAGCGTCGTTGTTCGCATCACGTCGTTGTACCAATGGTACTCTTCCACACAAAAAGCACCGGTGGACTGGAAAACCACGGGCAAGGTAATAGGTTTTGACTGTTTCATTTTGCTGGGCAACTGTTTACGCCTGCGTCTCCTAGTTTGCGTTATAGAAAGTCCAGTTGGACAAAAAAAAAAAAAATGACCCTTTTCCACACTTTTAGGCGTATAGGGCATATAGGGCTAGACCTATATTTTTATAGACCAATCGGCACAAGATGGGTGATGTGGTCAGCATCACGCCTGCCGCCTTTACTTTCCAGGACTGCACCTAGTACCTACTCAGGGCTTGGACTACCTGGGAGCCAAAGTCATTTGTGGAGAAAAAAAAAGTCCCGCCCCAGAAGGGCCAGTAGTTACGATATAATTTTGCGTATGATTTGGGCCTGGTTTGTGTAATATCTGAGCATAGAGTATTCAGCTGTTTGAAGGTGTAATAACCGCTTTAGCTTGCAGGCATAGTGGCGACTGCTGTGGCAAACCGTCTTCAAGTTTCAGATTAGTTATCTCCTGTAGCTAGCAAATAAACGGGTTAGGGGAATGTGTAGTGATACATTGTGATGAACGCTTCCTCTTCTTATGTTTTCTATACCCTGTTCTGGTTTTCAGCGTCACGTTATGAAGAGGCATGTGGTGTGTACTGCGTAGATGCTGGTATTCCGGCCATCATATATTCCATCCATAAATTACTTTAACAAATGTCTGAAAACTCCCAACTGCATCTTCTAGAGATAGAAGAAGATTAATGCATGGGTGTTTAGCATACCTACTTCAGTTAGCTGAATATCCTCTGAAAATTACATATAACTGCATCTGAAGACATTAGGACGCTACATTTGTCCCGGTATTCAAGTGAAAAACTGTGCATAAGTTAATTAGTTAGTTAGTTAGTTAGTTATCTTCTGGCAAGTGATGTGGATTCACTGCCCCCAAAGCTCTACTTCTCGTAGAGCATTGATAATATCATCATGATCTATAGGTTGTCAATCTGTAGTGATAGCGGATCCAGTCAACCTATCAGCTCTTTTATTTCCATCGACGCCTGCATATCCCCGAACAAAAATAAAAGGTGACGCTACGCACAGTGGACTTCTGTAATGATTCAAGCCATTGCCTCAGCACTGAACCTGCCTGAACCCTCCGGATCATACACGAAATCACTAAGTACACATGCGTAAGTGCACATCAGAAACTCAGTGTGCCGTCAGTTGTGCATATGAGATTTTTATGGGATTCGTTCACATGTCATACAAACCGTGAGGATCACAGTGCATAGAAGCAAGTCAGACAGGTTTGTTTGTTTACCTCATTTAACAGCATTTGAGAGAAAGTTGGAATAAGACCATGTTGGGATTACATTGACAGACAAAGAATGAAATGGTTCTGTCATCTAATGAGATGCAGGCAGACCAAACTGCACATGAGACCACCCAGATTAGGATTCCTGTAGTCTCAGGGCTGTTGAGACCCTTAGATGGCAGCTCGGAGAGGTAATGCCAAGAAACAGTCAACCATATTGCCGTCTTGAAACCCCTCAACCCCGCCCCCTTCCCCTTCCCAAACTAATCCGGCCGTATAAATAATATAAGCAACAGTGAAAAAAAGGGGACCTCAATGGGTCTAATACTTATTAAAGAGCACAATAAAATTAATAACAAAAATCTGCCTTGTGGTAAAAAAATATTTTAATATATTTGAAAAAATACGAAAATACCGCAAATACCTTTAAAAGGAATGTCCATACATGGTTAAAGAAGGACATGTAGATGGGTAAAACCCGAAACTCTGTAAGTAGCAGTAAATTTAGCTGGACGGTTTCACGGTAATGTCAGTCTTAGAGAACATAAACAGCGTGTGAGCGTGTAATTGTTTCATGTGAAGCAACACAGGTAAACAATAAAGGACGCCTTCAGGCGCATTGGGCATATAGTGCTGTACCTATATTTTACAGACCACTGGTTGGTGATGTAGTCAGCATCCCATCGATCGCCTTTACTTCCTTGGACTGTACCTGCAAGGTCATTTCTGAAAAAAGTTCGGTTCTGCCATGCTTTTATAACATTCCTAGGCTAAACAAACAAGGTCACATCTTTCGTGGTTTGGTACTCATGGCTAGTACTTGTTCACACATGACACGTTGGTTGGGGCTGAAAGAGTTGAAATTATTTTTTTTTTTTCCGTGGACGGAAATGGGATCGTGGTGGACGATGTAGTTCTCGAATGTTGTGAAGTTAGATCGAAATGTGGTTGATGGGGGATCTCGAGTGACCTGAGGCCCTAGGCTCCAGTATCTATGCAGTGAGGCCCCGTGCTTAACATCCTCTCACATTTTCCACCAGCTCAACAGCAACGGAGAGTTCACGTGCACAGTGACGTCCAAGGAGCTGGCTGACATTCTGTTGAGATCACGTAACTACTTCTACAGTCTAAACCTCGAACAGTTCCGGGTGGAAGCCAACGTGACGGAAGGCAACAGCCAGCGACTACAGGTCGGGTCTGCGTCCATGCAGATCTATTCATCTCCTTACACGCTTCAGGTGGTACCCATCACATCTGCATCCTACAAACCGAACAGGCCCTTTGTAGCATATGTAAGTCACATGTTGCTTTTATGTCCTTTACGAGTCACATGATATTATGCAATAAGCAAGTCACGTGTGGTTACGTCATTTGTACGTCATGTGATATGTCATAGATAAGTCATATGTTGTGATGCAATGTGCAAGTCCTGGGATATTATGTCATATGGTATTGTAATGTCATTTGCAAGTTATGCAATATCATGTCATATGTTGTCGTTACGTCATTTGTAACTCATAAGATATATGTGAATCTCGTGATGTTGTTATGTCAATTGCTAGTCCTGTGATAATATTTCAAATGTGGGTCACTGTTTGTAATATTATTTGAAAGACATGTGGCAGTATGTCAAATGTAAGCCATATGTTGTTACATCATTTGCACGAAAGGTGCTATTATGTCGCATGTTGTCTTTTAATTTTTTTACAAATCATATGAAATTATGTCCAGTGTTTGGTAAATGTTGTTATGCAATTTTTAGGTCATGTGATATGTAATAAATAAGTAATATGTTGTTTTGTCATTTGCAAGTCATGTAATATCATGACATAGTAAGTCATATGATAATGTTATGTCATTTGTTAGTTATGTGGTGAAAATGCCGTGCATAAATCATGTGACATTATGTCATTTGTAAGTCATGGGGTACTGTCCTTTGTAAGCCACATTGTATTGCAATGTCATTTACAAATTATGTGTTATATCATATACAAGTCACTGGTATTATTTCTGAAATAACACATGTTATTTGTTAGTTGTGAGCAGGACTTCTTTGTTCCTAGAAAAACATGTGTCGATACTCACCATAAAATGTGTTTAAAAAAGCACCGATTCTCGCCCGCATTTTAAAAAAAGCATCGATACTCACCATAAATTGTCCAAAAGAAAGCGGCGATACTCGCCATAAAGTGTCCAAAAGAAAGCGGTGATACTCACCATAAAGTGTCCAAAAGAAAGCGCCGATACTCACAATAAAGTGTATAATAAAAAGCGCCGATAGGCACCCCAAAGTATCTTTAAAAAAAGCTCCAACTCACCACAGTGTCTAAAAAAGTATCGATTCTCACCATTAAGTGTCTAAAAAGGGCACCAATGCTCACGATAACATCTGTTATAGAAGCACTAAAAAACTGACGACGAAAACATGGGCCGGTACTGCGTACCCTTCCACACCGCCAGATGTATGGATATCTGACGAGTTACCTAGCAGTGTTCATCTTCCGCAGCTGGCGGCTGTGGAAAAATACGTTCGCGTGGCTGTTGGACAGTGGAACCAGTGTCTCAGAACGGAAGAGACTGTGGCATCAACAACAATTTTCCTCAAAGACAGTAATAAATGTACATATCCACTATAGATATCCTCCACCGCTGAGACGGCACAATAAAGAACAAGTCTCTGTGGTGTCTTTCCCGATCCTTCTGTCAGAAAATGTACACCAAGAGATAGGTAATCTTGTTGAAAGCTATCGTGCAGTGCATATCTCCTCGTACACGATAGTTTTCGTTTTAACTAAAATTGGAACACGCTAAATCGTTTCTCTGTTAGTAGTTTACGGTTTACAGTGTTGGAGCACACGCTCATTATTTTATAGCCCAAATTGCGGGGTCACAGCTAAGTGCTTTCTACACCGAAAAAGCTTTAATTAATGCTGTATTATTTATATAATTTATGAGTTGGTTCTCACCCACCCCCACCCCCCGCACCCTTTCCCCCCCCCCCCCCCAGTCCAGTGTATAGAAGAACCATTTATGCGATACCTTCCATTCATTATAGACCATAAAACAGAATGTGCATGTTACACAGAACCAGTTTTAACATTCTTCTTTATCTTATGGTCCATGTCGTGTATCTTTTATATTCCTGTCTACCCACAATCTTCTCTCTCGCATACATTCATTCAGTTCAGACACAGATTGTTGTCCATGCCATGATGCCAAATGTCCGGCATCTTTCCTCTAGGTCTCCATCTGCCCATTGTCCTCTCCAACTTTCCCACCCTCACGACATACTGTAGTTTTCTTCTCTCGACATAGCCAAAGAGTATAGAATTTCTGTTTCAGACGTGGGCAATCGATTCCAAGACACCTTCATCATTCCTTTTTATCTTTCCAGGGTGTTATCACCATTCGTTTGTAAAACCATTTTTTTGTTTTTACCTAATCAATCACCAACCGGCCAACTGTCCATGATTTCATTTCCGTATACCCGTATAGGTGGTAACATACGATTGTGAATCTTGAACATCAGGGAAACCAACCAAACAAATTTCTTGATGCATCAGAGATGTAGTTTTACAGAAGAATGCTTAAAATTTCTTGGACAGCCAAAATATGTAATTCACGCGTTTTGTTAGAGACGAGGGACCGAAAACAACTGACCACAAAGAGCGGATCATCATATTTTGCCCCGAAAAACATATTAAGAGAATGTCAGATGACAGAGAAAAACTGTTAATACGAGAGACCTGGATGGTCGCAGACAGCCAGACAGACCAAGAAGATCAACAGTGATATAATTTACAGACAGACCTACAAATATTTGGTGTCACCAACTGGAAAGAGAATGCCAACCAGAGAGATGAGTGGAAGCGGGTTATATCTGCAACAATGTACCTCAAGAGGACAGAATGAGGATAAAGAAGACGATGAGCAAGAAGAAATTAGAATAAATTGTGGAAATAAAAAGATTTGTGTAAAAGTGGAAAGACAACGCAAAACGTTTTTTTTTTTTAAAGTAAGTTTATTTAAACATGGGATAGAAGGGTGTCAGCACTTGAACTGACACGACTGTCTGATCATCATCATCATCATTATTATCATTATCATCTGGCTGTGCCTTTATATGTCCCACAGGGATTGCGTCTACTCATCTGTTTTGTTTATCATGCAAACTCCATTCAGTTATCATTGAAATAATCCAGTCCAACATCTTTGGCCTCTCTCATCATCGTTCATCTTATGGTTTCTCTTGGAAGTCCTCGCTTCATGTTATTGGTTTTTTCCCCACCAGTTCAATTCCTGTTTGGCGATTATCTGCTCTTTTCATCAGGATTGCCCACTATAGCGATCCCATATTCGCTTCTTCTCAATATGCACCCAATATAGCATCGTCTTCCTTGTTTTATAACTGTTGATATAAGTGGTTTAAATGATAATAAACAAGTTCCATTGGATCAAGAGGTGAGGAAAAGACGCTGGAGTTGGATAGGACACACGTTGAGAAAACCTGAGGACAATAAACCTAGAATGTCTTTGCACTGGAACTCAGAATGGGCATTGAAATAAAGGCACACACACACACACACACACACACACACACACACACAACGGAGAAGGGAACTAGAAAGTAAAGTTTAAAAAGAAAAAAGGAAGGATATGGGGTAAGCTTCTTGAGATAGCGAAGGATAGAACAACTTGGTGTTATGGGGATAGAATTCAGAATGACAGCAACAACAACAATAATAATAATAAAAAGAACATAATTAACAGTAACAACGAAAGTAATGCTTAATTATCATCTGCAGGTTGAGGTGACAAAATCAGATGGAACCAGCTTGGCCCCGCAGGAAGCGTACAGCCTGAAAGTCTACTTTAACGTGACTTATGAAGTTCCGATCCCACCTGAAGAATTGGACACAACAACAACCACAGCTCCCAATTCTAGCAGCAACACTGGCGAGATGGAACGTATCCCTGCAAAAGGTATGGGGGGTGGGGTGTGGGATATTTTGTTTCGCAAAGGGATATTGAATGTTGAATTAAGAATCGTCATCGCAGTACTCTGGACATTCCTACAAGTGCTCCGTCCTCAACTTCTGCAGCACATTTCCAGTTCTGTTGGCACCAGTAAGAGTAATTTCCGGTTCCGATGGCACCAGTAAGAGTAATTTCTAATTCCGATAGAACCAGTAGGAGTAATTTCTAATTCCGATGGCACCAGTAAGAGTAATTTCTAATTCCGATGGCACCAGTAAGAGTAATTACCAATTCCGATGGCACCAGTAAGAGTAATTTCTAATTCCGATGGCACCAGTACGAGTAATTTCTAATTCCGATGGCACCAGTAAGAGTAATTTCTAATTCCGATGGCACCAGTAAGAGTAATTTCTAATTCCGATGGCACCAGTAAAAGTAATTTCCAGTTCCGATGGCACCAGTAAGAGTAATTTCCAATTCCGATGGCACCAGTAAGAGTAATTACCAATTCCGATGGCACCAGTAAGAGTAATTTCCAGTTTCGATGGCACCAGTAAGAGTAATTTTTAATTCCGATGGCACCAGTAAGAGTAATTTCTAATTCCGATGGCACCAGTAAAAGTAATTTCCAATTCCGATGGCACCAGTAAGAGTAATTTCCAATTCCGATGGCACCAGTAGGAGTAATTTCCAATTCCAATGGCACCAGTAAAAGTAATTTCCAGTTCCGATGGCACCAGTA